ACTTCCCATAATGAATGTAATACTATATACTAATAAAATAAAAAATAAAATTTAAAAATATTGCAGTAGGGTCAGGGATGTAACTCAGTGATACAGCACCTGCATGGCAAGCTCCATGCCCTGAGTTTGAGTCCCAATACCAAAAGAAAAAAAGAAAAAGAAAAAGAAAAAAAACACTGAACTATATACTTATAAGAATGTATCGTATGAGGGCCAGGGATTTAGCTCAGTAGTTCCACCGCCTGCCTGGCAAGTGCAAGGACCCGAGTTTGATCCCCAGTATCAAAAAAAAAGAATGTATTGTATGATATGAGTTGTACCTCAGTTAAGAAAATAAGCTTATTATACATCTACTGAGGATCTATCTTAGTGACAAAACATCCTAGAACTATCTTCAAAATCAAGAAAATAATAACAATGCTGAATCATGTGCAAATTCACATTTTAGTTTCTAAAATATTTTCCCCATAATTTATATGTATATATGCCCCTCCAAAGTACTCACTTTTCTCTGCATTGAAATAATAACCACCTCTAGGAATTTCTGTAAATAACCTTGAGGAGGTAAAGAGTGCAATTAGAGTAATAGCCTATGTGTTGCTGCAGGCAGAGGTGGAACTAGATTCACTCCTCTTTATCTGCTCCACCCAGTTTATTTCCAAAACATCAGATTACAGAGGAAACAGGTATAAATGGTCATCCAGGGAATGCAATCTCTGTTTTTCAAAGTGGGACAAGGGAGATACTTCATAAATTTGCCATTTATTTAAATTTGTCAAGACGCTGAGCTTTCCGCTTCCAAGAGGGTTGCTAGGCCGCCGATTGAGAATTTTCCTCCACCTTTCTCCATCCTTTTCCTGGCGTTTGATTGACCTGGAGGTGATGCACTAAAGGATCCCTCAGAAATACGTAGAACCGCACTTCTAAAATGGCGAACCGTGCAGTGAAGGATGCGCACAGCATCCGTGGCACGAACCCCCAGTATCTGGTGGAGAAGATCATTCGGATGTGAATCTATGAATCCAAGTACTGGAAGGAAGAGTGTATCGGACTTACGGCTGAACTTGTAGTATAAAGCCATGGATTTAAGGCTTGTGGGAGGTGTCTACGGTGGAAACATCAAAGCAACTCCCTTTCTGTGTTTGGCCTTGAAGATGCTGCAAATTCAACCTGAGAAGGAGATCATCGTAGAGTTTCTAAGAAATAAAGATTGCAAGTATATCTGCCTCTTGGGCACACTTTACACGAGGCTGACCGGCACTGCGATTGATTGCTACAAGTACTTGGAATCTTTGTACAACGACTATTGAAAAATCAAGAGCCAGAAGTGAAATGGAGGGTTGGAACTGATGGGTGTAGATGAATTTATTGATGCACTGCTGCACAGCGAGAGAGTCTGTGATATCATTCTGCCCGGGCTACAGAAACGCGACGTGCTTGAAGAAGCTGAGCAACTGGAGCCTCGAGTGGGTGCTCTAGAAGAAGACATGGAGGATGTGGAGTCTAGTGAAGAGGAAGAGGAAGACGATGAGAAGCTGGAAAGAGTCTGGTCACCACGTCACCGCCGGAGAAGCTACGGAGACTTGGACGAGCCCCGGGGCTCTCCCACACTGCGCTACAGAAGGAGCAGGAGTCGGTCTCCCCGAAGGCCAAGGCGGAGTCCATCTCCCCGAAGAAGTCCTTCAGCCCGCAGAGAGAGGCATCACAGCAAGAGCCCAAGACTCCGCAGAAGCAGGTCCCGAGGTCGCCGACACAGATCCCGCTCCAAGTCCCCCGGTCATCACCATCACCGTACTCACAGCCACAGGAGACGCTCAAAGTCTCCGGAAAGGTCAAAGAAAATCCAGAAGGGCGGGAGAGGGAATGAGGCATGAATTCAATTGGCTTGGAGTCCCAGTGGCCTCCTGTGGATATGAGGGTAGCTATGGAGAAGGATTAAGAGCTGCTCTCCTGGCAGCTAGAGTATTTCAGTTTTTGCCTCCCGACTTTCTTTTCTTTTTTTTTATGGAAGAGGTGCTGAGTTCGTATCTCTTTTTTTCAACTCTATTCAAAATTATGAGGGTGGAAAGGATCTGAGACTTGGGGATGTGAGTGAGAAGAGATTTGGACATCCTGGTGACCCTTTGCCTTTCTGTTATTTAACTGGAGACACCCCCGAAAAATAAATGAATGAAAAAAAAATAAAAAAATAAATTTGTCACCATTACTTGACAAGTGGAGATGAAACTCTCATAGAGATCGAGTAACAGAATATAAATGAATCTCTGAAAAGATGCTCAGCCTCACTGAAGATTGAGGAAGAAGAGAACATTCATGGACCAGCTCAAACTTGTGATCTTCCTGCCTCAGCCTCCCAGAGTGCTGAGATTATAGGCATGTGCCAGCATGCCCAACTTCATGACTGCAATTTAAACCTCCCAACCATCAGGAAATGTCACAAGTGTTACTGAAACCAAGATTGTCAATATCTGGAATAATATTTTGGCAGACTTCCTATTTCTCAGTAGGGATTTATAAGAAATATAAAACAATTTTTTAAAAATGTCTTAGAGACAAATCAAATAAAACATAGAATAGGTAGTGTTTTGCCTTTGGCTTCAAAGGATTAACTGCAAAATCAATGGTTCTTTACCCAAAAAAAGCAGAAAAATTTTGAGTTTTGATTAACCAAAAGCTCAAGTTGAACTATTGTCACCAAACCATCATGAAATCTAAGCTGCATTTATAGAGAGCAGATGTTCAGGACTAAAGCAGGCAGTATCTAACGTGGTTCAGTGCCTATGTGTAATCCTTTGGCTGATCTAGTGATTCTTCTAATAGAGTATGTCAGACCTCACAGGATGTTCCTCCTAAAATTACATTAAGAGACTTTGAGCACCTGCAGTAGCACACATCTGAAATCCCAGCACTCTGGGAGGCTGAGCCAGGAGGACTGCATTAGAGCCCATTAGAGGGGGCAATTGGGCAATGTAGCAATTTAGCGAGACTAAGTCCCAAAGTAAAAAAAAAAAAAAAAGGGCCGGGAATGTCAGTGACTGAGCTGAGCGGTCCTGAATTTCTGACCCACAGGCTTCTGAGGTAATATATTTAAACTGTTGTATTCTGAGGTGATTTGTTACTCAGGACTGGATAACTTATCCAAGGATGAGGAGGAGCTCAGTGGGTGGACTACATCCAGAGCGTTTCTTTCTTCAGTGCTGGCTGCTGCTGCTGCTGAGCTGGCTGAGAAGGTGGTGGCCGTCGTGCCAGGACTGGAGGCTGTGAAGGACCCAGTCACAAAAGCAATCTCGGACAATAGGGTGGGAAAAGGTAAGTTTAGGGAGGGCACATTAACTACTTTCAGCTGTCATAAGAGTTTACAGAAGGGTCATTAGAAGCCAAGAATTTAAAAGCTGGAGAGAGGGCCGGGATTTAGCTCAGTGGTTTCGCCGCCTGCTGCGCAAGGACCTGAGTTCGATCCCCGGTACCAAAAAAAAAAAAAAAGAGCTGGAGAGGGATTAAATGGTCCAACCCTTACATTTTTCAGACCAGAGAAGTGAGGCTCAGAGGAGAGGTGATGCTGACCTCGGCTCACAGTCACTGAGGACCAGAAGCCACCCCAGATGTCCAAGTCCAGGCAGCAGTGCTCTCTGTAGGTCTGGGATCCTTGGAGAGGCTCTGCAAGGCCAGCTTGGGTTATGAGAAAGAGCTTTCCGGCAATTAGAGCTGTTCAAACAGTGGTTCAGCCCAAGGGATTTGGTGACAGTGACCCACCAGGAAGCTGTGGAGGGGTGGAGGAGGAAGTAATTCGGTTGGCAGACTCTGATTTTGATCCTGAGAGTCCAAATGCACTTGGTCACAAAACATCAATACTATGACTTAAAGTGTCAAACTGTAACAAATACCACATCTTACTTTTATTTTTCTTTTCATTAGATAACTTGTATTTTAAGGGAAAAAAAATGAACTGGATTGCCATTTACTGCCTTGCGCTCTCGGACATGGGAAGTGGTTTAAAAAGTGAGCTGAGAAAAGTGCTTAATTAGACAATAAGCTGGGGCCGGGGATTTAGCTCAGTGGTTCCGGCACCTGCCTTGCAAGCGCAAGGTCCTGAGTTTGACCCCTGGTACCCCCCCCCCAAAAAAATTAGACAATAAGTTGAATCAAATTATTTCTAACCTTCCCATCAACTTTATTTTATTATTACTATATTATTATTATTATTATTTTGGTACCAGGGATTAAACTCAGGACCTTGCGCTTGTGAAAGGCAGGCAGCAGAACTACTCAGCTAAATCCCCGACCCCAATTTTTTTTTTTTTAAGACAGGGTTTTGCTATGTAGTTCAGGCTGTCCTTGAATTCACTACAGAGCCCAGGCTGGCCTCAAACTTATGGTGGTTTTCCTGCCTCAGCCTCCTGAGTGCTGGGATAACAGGCAGGCCTGGGCCAGCTGAGGTACATAGTGAATTTAAGCCCAGTCTGAACTACATAGTGAGAACCTGTCTCAACAAAACAAAACAGGTGCAAAAGAATGTAAAACAGACCAGAATTTTCCATGGCAGCAAGAATAGAATTCCATAATCTTAAAAAAACCCCCAAAAACCTCACTTTATAGAATTAAACAGTACATTTCTGTTAAAGAATACTATAATAGAATGCAGGCCAAATAAGCATTGTCAAAATAAATATAAAACCTTGAAAACAGAGTTTTGAAGAAAAGAAAAGGAATGAGAAGAGCTTATTTATTTAGATATAGGGTATTTATAAAAATAGGGAAGCAGAGTGAAGCAGCGTGGAGGACATATTTTTATCCTATTTGCGTCATGAGGAATGGGCTTAGGAGCATGGGTCATCACTGTGGAAATTCTATGTCTAATTCTCTCTAAAGATAATTAAAACTCAGAAGCTGGACAGGCCACGAGATAATTCCTACAATTACAGTGCTTTAGAGACGGCACCATGCTTTAACCCCCACCATGCTTCAGCCAGCGAAGAGAAGGCGGGTTACACTTAACAATTACATTAGCTGTTTCAAAAGAACAGCTGTGAGTCATGGACATTTTCTCACTTAGCTCCTCAAGAATAACAAAATTGTACTTTTTGTGTGTGTGTGGTGGTGGTACTGGGAATTGAACTCAGGACTTTCAACTTAGCTATATCCCTAACCCTTTTTGAATTTTTTAAGATTTTGAGAAAATGTCTTCTTAATTACTAAATTGCTCAGACTGGGTTTGAATCTGTGATCCTCCTGCCTCGGCCTCCCAGAGTGCTGGGATTACAAACATGCACCATCACAGCCCAGCCATAGTAACGAATTTTACACAGAAACTACTTAGGCTATTCATAACTAAAACATATGATTTAAGTTTAGATTGAAAATTGGCTTTACATTTGTAGCACATGTTAGAAAAAGTGGGTATAATCAACATTTTTCAGGTGTAAGGTACATTGCAGTTTGAATGAGTGATGAATCAGACAACTTCTGGGTAGAGGTAAAAGTAGATATTTGCCTGAGGCAATGTGTCCAGAAGAAAATTTAAAAATTCTTAACAATAATTTATATTTAGTTAAGCTTGAAAAATATTTGTATTTCATGAACCTTTGTAAATTTCCTTTACCTGACCTCAGCAATGATTCAAGAATTAAAAAAAAAAATCCAAACCATCTAAAATCCAAAGCTGGGACATCAAAATATCACTGTATTTCATCAACGAGTTTAAAAATCAAAGATTAGCACATTCACGTAAAATTGCCACAATTCGGTGGATGTGATGTCACAGGCCTGTAATCCCAGCACTCTGGGAAGCTCAGGCAGGAGGATTGAAAGTTTGAGCCTAGTCTGGGCAACTTAGTGAGACTCTGTCTGAAAATTAAAAATAAAGAAAGGGCTGGTGAAGGCCTCAATTTCCAGTAACACACAAAAGAGAGTGCCATGGTTGAGTATACACATACATATATCTCTCCCTTTTTTTTGGTATTGGGAATTTAACCAGGGCCTCCTGTTTGCCAAGCATATTCTGTGTCCACAGCACTATCTTTTGTGTTTTAAGAAAGGTAGACAATCCTTGAGATTGGTAGATTAGTGGTAACGTTGAATTTTTAATATATTTTATTTTACTTTTTAAAAAATGTTGATATAGGGCTGGGGATTTAGCTCAGTGGTTCTGCCACCTGCCTCGCAACCGTGCAAGGTCCTGAGTTCAATCTCTGGTACCACACACAAAAAAAGTTAATATATTTTAAATAACCTCACTAAATAACATTATTAATCATATACTTAGCATTAATTTAAATAGCTTATTGAATGAACTATTGAAGGAAAAATATTGCTGTCACCATTCAGGGAAAATGAAGAAAGTACAAAACTTTGTTATACTGTGCTTATTTGGGAGGAAATTTTCAGTTTTCTACATAGCAGCAATATTGTATCATTTAATTCCCTTTTGAGCAGAAAGTTTTATGAATATAGGAGAGGTGAGGTTTTATAAACACCTCTAATTTCTTGAAGATCTAAAATCAAAGTGATAAAACAGAAGTAAATTTTAACAAAATACAGGTAAATGATTTTAATAAAATACTATGTAATTTTTTCCTTTTTAAGAGGCGCTTTAATGCAAAATGCACCGTTGGGACAGTGTGTGAAGTGCGCAAGGCTTCAGCGCTCACGCTGAGCATGCCCCCCCCCCCCCAAGAACGTGCGTTGCCAATGGCAGTGCTCTGAGTGCCTCCTAACCACACAGCTCCCTCTCGCTTCCCTGAGGCCTCTACTGTCTTGATTTGGTGCCCATGACTCACTTGCTTTTCCCCAAACCCTACGGTCTGTGAACACATCCCTCAAATGTGTATTACTTCATTGTGAAAGCCTGAGCCAGCAATCACAGACCAGGATGTGTAAGGAAAGGGCACAGTGCCGCGCTGGTTGGAGGGAGTTGGAGGGTGTGAGAAAACGCTGAACAGTCTCTGAGTCGTGGTGTGGCTGGAGCTCAGCTGCTCTGAGAAATGTCCTGTGTGTGCAGGACTCCGGGGCCGGCTTAGGAGACCCGCCCCACTGCCACTGGCGGGACGGAGCAGGGCCTGCTGCAGCCGCTCTGGGGTGGGGGGCTGGCTGTGACTGCCTGTGGGAGGACAGCAGAGACGCCCAGGCTGACCGGACAGCCAGGCTGAGAAGGCCTGAGGCAGGAGTTGGGGGAGTGACTGCTTAGGGGCACAGCTGTCGACCGGGCTTTGCTCCCTCCTGGCTGGGCCCCTCATTCCCTGTAGTACAAGGCTTCTGTTTATTCACCTCTACTGGGGAAGCTTGTCCTTCAGTAGTTTTTAAGTACAGATGCATGGGAAATAAGATATAAATTTTTTTCTTTTTCCTTCTTTCTTTTCTGTGGTGGTGGGGACTGACCCTAGGGCCTTGTACACACACTTGAGGGTGGCTGGGGACCAAATCTGGGGCCTTTTACATGCTAGGCAAGTAAGCACTCTACCACTGATCTGTACCCCCAACCCCAATTTTTTTTGTTATTTTGACACAAGGTCTTGCTGTATAGTCCAGGCTAGCTTTAAACTCACTGTGTAGCCCAGGCTGGCCTCCAGCTCACACCAATCCTCCTGGCTCAGCCTCCTGGTTGCTAGGATTACGGATGTGCACCACCACACCCAGCATAGCTCCAATTTTTTTTCAGTTTAGTTTGTTTGGTTTTTTAGTGTAGTTTTTTGGGGTTTTTTTAGACAGGGTCTCCCTATTAGTTTAGGCTAGCTCACTATGTGGCCCAGGCTGGCCTTGAACTCATGGCAATCCTCTTGCCTCAGCAGGAGTGCTGAGTGCTAGAATTACAGGTGTATACCACCACCCCTGGCATAGCCCCAATTTTTAAGATCTTGAATATTTAAAAATATCTTTGTTCAGTTCCATATTTGGGGGAGGGGTACAGAATCTCACACAGACTACGAAAAACCCCTACTACTGAGTTACATTCTCAGCCTCCGTTTTTCTTTTTCTTTTATTTGAGGCAGGGTTTCAGTATATTGCCCAGACTGGTTTTGAACTTCTGAGGTCAAGCAATCCTCCTGTCTCAGCCTCTTCTCCCTCCATAGTTGGGATACAGATGTGTGCTACCTTGTGTGGATCCAGTGCTCGTTCTTGATTGATGATTTCTAAGGATAGAATTCTTTCTTTTCTTTCTTTCTTTGTTTCTTTTGTGTGTGTGTGTGTGTGATGCTGGAGATAGAACCCAAGGCTGAATGCATGCTAGACATATGCTCTCCCGCTGAGCTACATCCTCATTCCCTGGGAGATAGTTAAGAACCAAACCATAGCAATGATACTTTTATTTCTATGTAAGGTTTTTTTTATATGTTTTTAACTCCTTCAAATTGGCTTTTTATTTTGTTTTATTATATTATTATTATTATTATTTGGTACTGGGGTTTGAACTCAGGACTTTGAGCTTGCAAGGAAGGCGCGGTACCACTGAGCTAAATCCCCAGCCTCCACATTGGCTTTTTCAAAAAATATCTGTCTTGGGCCAGGGATTTAGCTCAGTGGCACTGCGCCTGCCTTGAAAGCTCAAGGTCTATGAGTTTGATTGCCGGTACCAAAAGGAAAAAAAATCTGTCTGTATCTTTCCCAGCAGAAGGTTCCCTTAATGACAGGGAGTTCCTGATTATAGGGAGTTCATGATTAAGTAGGGGGACTAAAATCTCAGTGGATGCAGAGAATACTGACTTTAAAACTCACCATAGGATGATTTGGATGAGCAGGTCTAACTTTTGGGTTAGGTTCACCAGGAAAGAGACTTCAGCTCCCTCGTTAGATGGGTGAGTGTCAAATTGCTGGCAGTCTGGGCAAGAAGTGAGGGAAGACAGGCAGTGTGTGTGTGTGTGTGTGTGTGTGTGTGTGTGTGTGTCCTGCAGCAAACATTCAGTATACGTAAGTTCAGTAACCCGAGTTCGATCCTTGGTACCAAAAAAACCCAAAAAACATAAAAGTCAAGTTGGGCCAGGGATTTAGCTCAGTGATTTCGCCACCTACTGCAAAAGCACAAGGAC